AAAGAAACTATCAAATAAGGTATGCATTAAAAGGTTAGTTAGTCCTTCTTCTTATCTTCAGATACGAATTTTTTTTAATGTCCAGTATTTTTTTACATTTTCATAATTTCATGTTTCCTCATAATGTTTGTAAATGATTTTCTTTTATAGGCTAACATAACAAGTCCATTCTATTAAAATCATTTTCTTTAACGTAAAAAGGAAATGAATTTGTTAATAAAATAAAGTTCTTATTCTTAATTTTCATTATTCTAATGTTATGTATTTTAATTGTTTTTATGATATATACTTTTACTAAAACCTGTGGATCCGAGTTTTGGTTGGTAAGTGTAATTTTTCTAATCTTTTAAAACCTTTTACAACAATTACATGTTTTATATGGTTAACAATCACATCATATATATTTTATTTTCTTATCCAATGTATTTCATGTTTAATGTTTTCTAATATTTTTTATTGAAACTTTTAAATAGTTTCAAATTAATAAACATTTAAACTTTATTAAAAGTAAAATATTATAATTATTTAAACATTTAAAAAAGTTTATTTTTATAAAACGTTTTAAATATTTATAATATTAGGAATTTTATAAAGTTTCAAATATTAAATAGTTGAATTTTATAATAATTTATAAGAAATTTAAATATTATAAATATTTACAAAAGATATTAATACGAGACGGTATATTACGGGTGAAATTCTAGATATAACAATCAAAATACTATTATGAATTTTGGGTCGATATTAAATGAAGTTTCGAATATTAGAAATATTTGAATTTTATTGGAAAATGACAAAATGATGTAGATTTCACGGGACAGAGTTATATGGTCGGACGGATTTGGGGTCGATATTAATACAGTATGATATACTACAGGTGAAATCCTATAATTAACAATCAAAATATAACTATACAATCTTAAACACTAAACAAAACTAAACAAATAATATTAACAGAACAAATAAAACTTCAAATTTTAAATCTTTAGTTATAAAATATCGTGTGTACCATACATTTAAATCAAACAAAACAATAGCATATATCTATAAATCATCTTAAAAAAAATTAATTTTATTATTATTTAATAAAATTATAAACCCACGGTGTACCGCGGGTTAATATCTAGTCTTATATAAATCTTTAACCTCGTAATGTTACAATCCATTGAAGCAACGGTGACGGTGCCTTTAATCTAAATCTCGTTATCACTTATCAGCACACTGCACACATGGCCGAGGTTCGAGGAAACTATCTTTATTTATGTGTCTTTTCTAAGTTTTTTTTTTTGTCATCTTCTCGTCTTCTACTGGTTAGTAGTATCAGTTCTGACCATATGTAATTCAAATCTTGTTACCTTTATTTATTTAATTTAAAAAACAACAAAAACATCTAACATTAAAAAGCGTATATATCATATATATAAATATATATATATACTAGATTTTAACCCGCGGTACACCGCGGGGCTATACTTTAAACAAAAGTTTGAAAATCATCAATAGATATAACCTATTGTTTTGTTTGGTTAAATATACTTACATATGTATATATTATATATATTACCCCGCGATACTTCGGGTCGATTTTTTATAACAATAATTTTTAAATTTTAAGTTGTATTTTTTTGTTAATATTATTTATTTTATTTAGTGTTTAAGATTATATAACTGTATTTGATTGTTAATCCTAGGATTTCACCCGTAGTATACCGTCCCGTATTAATATCGACCCAAACCCGTCCCACCATATAACCCGTCCCATGAAAGTAAACATCATTTTGTTATATTTCTTTTTAATAATATTTTTATTTAAAAACATATACAATTCGAGTCAATTTATAAGTTTGCTTTAAAAAAACATATAGTTGTAATGTTTTTATTATAATAAAGTAATAATATATAGATGTTGCTTACTATAGTTATAATCAAAACCAACTAAAAATCTAAGTTTAGTGTTGATTATGAATCATAGTTACGACCAAAAAAAAAAATTAATCAAATACAATTAGTGTAAATTAACTAATTAAGAAAACAAACAGAAATATAACAAAACTTGCTTTAAAATCGTTAACAAAAAAAGGAAACATCATATTTAAGCAAGATCTTTGGAGCCAAAATCTTTTTTTCATATCTTTTATTTAATTTTCCAAATCTTAAGAATTAAATCCAGTGGCATTCCATTGTAAATAGTAGTGAAAGCCAGGATTTATTTCATAATTGTATTCAAAAATGTATATATAGATATATATATATTAGTATTTTGAAATACATTTTTAGCGGGTGGGGCAAAATCCATTTGGATACAATGGATATCCCGTCAGTTTATAAATTTTGGTTATAAGAAGTTTGTTGGGTCAGGTTATATTTAACCCAACTCATACACCGAATATTCCATATTTAATAATTTAGATATTTAGAATATTTGATTAAGATTTAGAATTATGATTCTCCTATCATCTTTATTTCATTTGTTTTTAACAGTTTTGAATCATCATATAATATATAAAGTAAAAAAACGGATTTACATTATCCAATTGACGAAAAATGTGTGTTAAACATTCCACATCGACTAAAATATTTAGACTATGATTCAGAATTATATCATAAATAAGATCAACATTAATAAAATAAATAAGTTTTTTGAATCAACAATAATAATAAAAAAATATATCATTAATCCACCGCTTCAATAAGGATTAAATATTTAGTTTTTTTTTTTTTGAGCAAAATCTTTAGCTTTTTTAATACCACCAATATTAGACATATCAAATCAGTCTCATTTAAAAAAAATTGTATAAAACCAAAAATTGTCATTTGGTATAATATTACCTAATAACAATTGTAAACTATAGAATATAAATTTCTTAGAGATTGATACAATTTGTAAACTTTAATATATAATATATAATTATTACAATTTTTAAAATTACTATTTTTTGAAAACAAATCACGGGACGGATTAAGAAATTACATGACGAGTTATATTTCGGAACGAAGTTATATGGTGGACGAGTTTGGATCAATATTTATAAAATTTTAAAATATCATTAACATGCCGGTTTAATACAGATTAAATTCTCAGTTTATTAAAATATAAATATCTTAGAGAATAATACAATTTGTAAACTTTTATATATAATAAATAATCATTAAGTTTTAAAATCACTATTTTATAAAACAAATCATGGGACGGATTAAGAAATTACGGGACGAGTTATATTTCAGAACGGGTTTATATGGCAGACGGGTTTGAATCAATATTTATAATATTTTAAAATATCATTAACATGCCGCTTTAATACTGATTAAATCTTCAGTTTATTAACAATTGTCTCGTGGACTCGTGGTATACGTTACTTAATAACTATTGTAAACTATAAAAATATAAATATTTTATAAGGAAATATAATTTGAAAAATTATATATATTAACTTTAAAAATAAATCATCCTGCAGTGTACCGCTGATTAAAATCTAGTTATTTAGTATACTGGTAGAATATGTATTTCAGTGCAATTTTTCTTGATTATAAAATTTTATTACATCGAGCAAAATAATAGTGTTAGTTATCTCTAATGTTTTTCAAAATAATATTTTAAACTTTATTTAAGATCAATATTTTAAGAAAATATATTAAAAATCTCATTTTTTTTATTCGTGTTAGTTTAGTTGTCAGAATCTCAAGAGATACTCCTGAAGCGAGGGTATATAAAACACAACAAGGTACGTATCCAATCATATATATGAAAATTGGTCAAAATTCTCCATCTTTTCACCATGTCAACACACTAGAGAGTGCCACGTGTCCACAGATGAATCATTAAAAAAATGATTCGCTTCATCTTTATCGGTCCTTTTCGTCTTCTCCGTACGTTTTTATCGGTTTTATAAAAACAAAAAAAAAATAGAAACCATATGTAATTCGGATTGGTGACGATTTGCTTTTCTCGGTCTTACGATTTACCGGTTTTATAAAAATAAAACAACATAAAAATCATATACAATTCGACTTAGTTCGATTTTGGTTATTTTCAGTTTATTCCATGATTTTTTGCAAAAAAGTAATATTAGATTTTATATCTTAAATTGTATCATTTTGATTTAGATTCAATAAAACCATGAGTACATTCCAACATACTTTACCAATTAAATATTAAACCTAATATTATTATGAAATATATCATCTTTCAAAGAGTTTGATTTTCTTTTCTCCAACATGCACGTATTGGTATAAACATTCTTAAAAATATCATTAGATTTACAAAAGTTATTCATCTAACTTATATTACCAAGAAGCTTCTTGCAAAAATAATTAAAATCGAACCAAATAAATATTATAATAATAAAATTTATAAACAAAAAATGAATGGTTTTAAACTAAACCGAACCGAAACCAAAACATTTTTAATAATTGTAGCCGAACTGGTTTTTAGAAGAAACCAAAATCAAAACGAATCATTTAATTACTGTTTGATTCAATTTTTTGGATAAGATTTTTTTGCCACTCCATATTTATTACTACGGACATAGGTTTATAATTTTTTTATAGATAAAATAAATTATAAAACAGGAAATATAATGGATAAAAAGTGAATATTTATAACACTAATAACCAAAAAATTGATCAATACAAATATTCAACATTAATTTAAAATAAAAATATAAAAAAGCCCGCTCGTATATAGGAAATAAAATTTACTTATTTATTGATGTGTTTTTAAAGATTTTGTTATCATTTTATCTTTTTCTACTAGTTCGTAACAGTTCTGATCATCTATAATTCACATCTCTTACATTTAATTCATTAGTTTAAACAACAAAATATGTATTGGTACAATATGTATTTTAGAGCTATTTTCTTGATTCTTAAGTTTATCTCATTGAGTAGAAAAAATATTGCTGAGATTATCTCAATTATTTTACAAAATAAGATTTTCAACTTTATTCATGATGCATATTTTATCCAAAAAAAATATTAAACACTTTATTTTTATTCACCTTAGCCCTCCAAATCTCGGCACGGCCCTCAGCGAGATGCTCAAAGACAACGAGGTACGAAACTATGAATACTATTTGATATATATTGGTACAAGATGTATTTTAATTAGTGTTATTTCTCTTGATTTTTTTTTTTATTTCATAGAGTAAAAAATTGCTAGTTACCTCTAATAATTAACAATATAAAACTATAAGCTTTATTTATGATGCATCTTTTATCCGAATAAAAATATTAAACTTAACGTTTCATTTTTTTATTTTTCTTAGCACTCTAGATTTCTAGGCACGGCCCTGGGTGAGATCCTCAAACACAATGAGGTATGTATTCAATATTCATAACGCATTTAGCAGATTCAGTTGTGTTAAAATATATATAAATATATATATATATATATATCTTTTTACTAGTATGTTATTTCTCCTTTGTATCATCGTTTGTAAAACTATTACAGTTAAATATGTATATATATATATATATATATATATATATATATATTTGTGTTTTTGAAGTTGTTGTTATCAACTTCTCGTCTTCTACGGGTTAATATCAGTTTTGATAATATGTAATTCACATTTCTTACATTTATTTCGTTAATTTAAACAACAAAAATAAATATAGTATCTAATCTACATAAATGCTATTTGGTATATTGGTATACAATATGTATTTTAATGCTATTTTCTGATTTTAAAATTTTATTTTAGAGTAAAAAATAGGGTTAATGTTTTTTCTTCCAAAAAATAGTTTTAATCATCACTAATATTTTAAAGTTTATTTACGATGCATATTTTATCCGAAAAAATTAATAGTCTTATTTTGTTTTTTTTGCCTTAGCCCTCCACATCTCTAAGTACAGTTCTGGGCGAGATGTTTAAAAACAACGAGGTACGTATCCAATATTGATAATGCAATTAGTATAGGTTCATGTGTGTTAAGAAAAATATATAAAAACATATATAAGAGTAACACTAACTTAAGGATCTAATTGTAAATTATGTAAATTAGTTTTACCCTAATTCCCTTAGGATTGTATAAATAGATGTAAGCCTCATTCTCAATCAATAAGATATTTTCAATCCTTATATGGTATCAGAGCATTCACTCCTAAAAAAAACCTAAAATTCTTTTCTTCTTTCTCGTGAGCCGTCACCATGGCTAACACAGAAAACAATACCGCCATCACCATAAACGCCAACACCGTTCACCACATCAATATGTCCAACATAACAAAGCTGACCAACACAAACTACATTGTGTGGAAACTACAAGTCCACTCTCTCCTAGATGGCTATGAACTCACCAAACATCTCGATGAAGCTGAAGGTCCTGCTGCCACTGTTACGGTTGGATCCGTAACCTCTCCAAATCCTGCCTACACCAAATGGAAGCGACAGGATAAGTGATCTATAAT